CTTGGGTCCCTCCAACATTGACCAGGAAGAAGAGGGGACACCAACAGAGGAGGTGAAGGCGTAGTGGCCCGTGAGGTGGGACAACAAATGGTGTCCCGAAAGACAGTGAGTTAAGTGTTTTGAGGAGGAGGGAGGGATCAACCGTGTCAAGTGTTACTGGGAGTGAAGATGCCACTGAGAATTGATCATAAGATCTGGTGATATGAAATCACTGGTGACTGTAACAAACGTGCTTCCAATGAAGTGGATTCAAGAGAGAATGCGAAGGATTCACAGAAGAGAGGGAGCTTGGACGATTGTTCTGAGGACGCTTCTGAGGAAATGGCAGGAGATTAGAGGCCAGGAGAGATTACAATAAGTTGTAATGATGGTGTAAGCAATGGAGCAGGAGGGGAAAGTGACAGCACATTATCACTTGTCCCTTGTAAAGTGAGACAAGGCAGGGGGAGTGGAGTGTGATCCAGGCAGCAGGTGGAGAGGCTGGCAGCCAGGAGCATCCACAGTTCATCCATGACAACGGGGGCAAAGAGGGCAGAGGTGGGGCTGCAGATGGTCTTATCTGATGCTTCTATTTCCTCAGTGGAAGAGGAAGCAGCAGCAGCAGCTAAGAGGGTGGATGAGGGAGGAGGTGTTGGAGATCTAAAGAGAGAGGATTTAGTGTGAAACAGTCACCTAAGAGACTGGAAATATAAAAGCCCACTTGATGATGGTTGTCAAGAATTCAAAGTGACAACAGTCAACACAGTTAGGTGGGGTTTTTTTCTTCTCTAAATATGTACAGCTACTTGGGTGCAAATGCAGAGTAGGCAGAGAGCTGGGCTTAACTGGGATGGGGTAGCCACGTGAGTATGTCAGAAAGAGGAGAGCAGGGCCGGGGGGATGAGGGTGCACACATGGCATCATTTAGGTGGCAGCTCTGGAATCTAAGCCAGAGCAGGAGAGAAGTGAGGACATGAGGGAGGTGAGGGATGGTGTAAGGGTGTTAGGGTCAACCCTGAGAGACCCCAGTGGAGTTGAAGAATTGTTGTCATCAGGGAACTGTTCGGGGGATGCAATGAAAAGATGCAAGGTGGTGATCAAAGAGTGGGGTCTTAGAATTGAGATTTTCAAGGTGGTGAAGTTACTAGTAATGACAAGGCTAAGGTGTGGCCATCAGAATGGTAGCTGAAGGAAGGTGGAGGACAAGATCTTTGCAGGTGATGACCTTGAGGAACTGAGATGCCAGGGTGCTGGTGGCTCATCCCCATAAACACTGAAGCCACCAGGAGTGATGACTCTGGAAAACAGTGCATCAGGGGCCTGTCAGTGAATGAGGGGCAGGGACAGGAGAGTGGAGGAGGGGCACCTGCCTCAAAGAAGCTCGGGAACTTCAGGGAGGAAGGAGGAAGCAGCAATGAGGAGCAGGGGCTCCTGGCTTGCCTCTAGCTCCAGAAGCACACAGGGACCAGTGCCACTGAAGGGGAGGTCTGGAAAGCAGTGTCCTGAGGGTGAGTGAGGTACAACCTTCTTACTCCAGTAACTGACTTGGCCAGACTACACTGCAGGATACACCTGGCACCAGGGAGCAACGGACACACACACACATACCCACGCCACTCCGGGCCCTCCTGGTGGCAGATCTATAGCAGAGTTTTTGCTCATCAAGTTAGCATAGCGCTGGAGGGCCTGGGAACCGGAAGCCCCATGACCTCACTGCCACCCTTGAAACACCACCACTGTGTGGCCGACCCAGCCAGTGTCATTCACTTTAGTCTGCAGACAGGAAAAATGGGGCTCAAGGAGTGAAGTAGCAGAGCCAGGTATGGTCCCTATGGCTTCTGACTCTTCCCAGCCCTGTGATCTTTGCACTAATCAGTTTCTCCCCAATTTCCCCAAAATCAGACTTACCTAGACACATTTTTAAAATACAGATTTCTGGGCCACACCCCTGAAGATATGGATTCAGTAGGTCTGGGCATGACTCAGGAAACAGCATTTTAACAGGTGCATTTTGTCATGACAGAAGTTTTGAATGCTGCAGACCACCACACTGTCTTCTCTATCAATTTATGCAGTTGATAAAGTTCTCTCAATTTCCCAGCCTTTGGACTGGGCACCATGACAATGACCCAATGTCTTATGCTAGTTGCCTAACACCTCTTCAATGCAACATCTTAATTAAAAAGGTGGAGACCCAATTTTCTATCTAATGAATGGAATGGAAAATTAATACCAACACGGTACCAGGGTTTGGAGGGGGTTATGTGTGAGAGCCATGGGTTTTGAGGAGATACCATCCCATCTTCATCACTTTGGTAATCCCTCCAAGTGTCGGTTATCCTACCTGTGATATGGTTATAATTCATTCCTACCTAATAAGGCTTTCCAGAGTCTGGGAACATTGTATGCAAAGGTCTTCATGTAATATTTATAAAATTGGAGTTAATGTGGTAGCTGCTGGTCATAGAAGTAATAATAACAGGGATTGCTATTGTTGAGATTCCCTATTCCAGCTTTGATCATTCTGTGCACCGGACAAGGAGATCTGGCCCCAGAATGAAGGCTCATTGTAATGCCCAATATCAGCAGGCCTGAGAGCACCAAGCCAGGAGTCGATGTTGGGAAACCCTGGAGAGGCTGTTCCAATCAATACACTAACATTTGCTTTGTCCACACGCCTCATGCCCGTGTTGACACAGTGGCCATTAGAGGACGATGAGCTGCAGCAGAAGTAATGGGCTGGAAGGAGGCGGCAGCACACTGGGTTTGGCACTTGAGGAGATAGTGTTTTAATCAATTGTGGGTTGTCATTAATTCTGGGTTGAGGTCATGTGCATTAGCGCTCTTGAACCCACCCTCAGAAACAGTGTGGGGTTCGCCAGCTCAATAAAACACTTGCTCTCAAGGTCTCAAAAGCTTCTCATTGATCTCAATAGAAAGTGCTGCTGCTAGCAGGAATTTTACCGTCTGATTCATGCTGTGTGGTAGGGAAATATCAAATACCCATTTCTCTGGAGAGGAGAGAAAACCACACAAAACCATTTCATTAAGCTGATCAATCATTCCTGAACTTGAGCAGAAGTTCTGCCCCTGAAATTCTAACTTACAGCCATTTCTTGTCCTTCCTGAAAGTGACCAAGACACAAACAAAAAGAAGGGCTGATTTGCTTAAGCTCTGCCTGCCTTTAAGGTGGCTTCTGTGCACCTAACTTGTTTAATTTTTTTCTAGATTCAAAACAATAAAGGATTATACACATTATAGCTTGTCCACATAATGGGATTCTGTGTGGTCATTAAAAATGGTGCTGGGATCCCTGGCATAGACCTGGAAATATTAGACCACAAAATATCTAGTGAAGAAAGCAAGGTACAAAATTATTGTATATTTAGTAGTAGTCCATGTTTGTAAGGGGTAAAAAATGCATACATACATATACACGCACAATAACGCAGGGAAGGATACACACCAAAAGTTGAACACTAGCCATCCCTAAGTCAGGGTTCCCTCAACTTCGGCTACATAACAATGATGCAAACTTGCATTTCCAGTGGGGAGATGATGGGTATTTTAAATTTCCTTCTTTATGACTTCTATACTCTCCAAGTTTTCTTCATTAAATACAAGTTGTTTGTGTAATTTTTTAAATATAAAAAATTTTAAAAGGGGCAGCCCCAAGCAAGC